GTGTGGACTTCAACTCCCAGAATTCACCAGCCAGCTATGGGAGTTGAAGTCCACACATCTTAAAGTTCTCAAGGTTGAGAAACACTGCAGTAGAGCAAGATTCCCCACTCCAGACATGTTGGAATGTCAATTCCTAGAATTCCCAACCGGCCAAAGTCATGTCGTCTAGGAGTAACCACCCAAATCCATCTGGAGGCAGAATGTTGGAGAAGGCTACAAAGAGATTGATTTTATTCAGTTCTGCAGACCAGACAAAGCTGTACCATTGAAGAAAAACCTGTGTGTCCACAAAAATATATTTCTGAGGAAAGCAGCTCTAAATACTACAATATTATTTTCTAATTTGGGGAAAAATAAAATAGGAGCAAACCAGAACAAAAGCCCATTGGGAAAGGCACCTCAGCTACCGGAATGGAAAGCTTAGCTAGTATAAAACATGGATCTTAAAAGCAACATATTTATCGGGAATTGGGAATATCAGTTCAGCAACTGCTCCAAAGAGGAAGTCGTGTGTTGTGCTAGAAAGAAGCATTAAGGTAATTTAAAGACAAGAGAAGACAAAAAACTCAAGTATGAATTACACATGCAGAAAATGGCAATAAATTTAAAAAGGGTTTGGAGTACCTCAGAACCCTACAGTCTTTGAAATATGGAAAAGTCAAAGGGGAAGAGGGGAAGATAAAACTGTTTTGAGATATAAGGGTGCATGCATGGGAAAGTAATAGCAATTAATTTTCTACATGCAATAGCAAAACTTTTCCAACACGATGCCTAGCAGATTTATGGGACCAACTTCCTTCACCCCTAACTAGCAGACTTTTTGGAGATGATGATTACGGGATTAGTCTGCTAAATGCAGCTTACTCCTAGCATAGGTTTAGGACAGACTTACCTTTTTAAGTGAACCTTATCTTTAATATTTCTTTTAGTTAACATTTCTGTTTTATACTTAGCCCCTGTGATTGATTTTAATCCTTTCAGTTTCATCTTTAGAATTTTACTGTTAGATTTGTTTGTGCTGGTTAATGATTACAGTACAGATTGACTGGATTCCCTAGTGCGTCTTGTTGACTAAAATTATAAACCTGTTCGTACTTAGCTGGGAATTAACACCACTAAACTCAATGGGACCGACCATTGACTCGAATAGTACGGATTCACCTAATAATCTACGTTAATGATGTATAAAACATGCATCTCTACTCCCTGTATTAAGACACAACTTCTTAAAGCATTTATTATTGTGAAATATCGTGGATCCCAGGAGATGTAATCCACAAAATTTATGGGATAGCAAATGAGCTTGTCTTTAGGATACCATCATCCCAGGGACTTTCATTCCACTGAGATCAGTAGGAATCATTCCCAAGCAACCGTTCTGCAGAACAGGACAAAAACAGTTCCCCACCCTCTGTTTCTCTATCATTTCATTCAAAAAGTTGAACTAAATCAGCGGTTCTCAAACTTGGCAACTTTAAGATGTGTGGACTTCAACTCCCAGGATTCCCAGCTGGCTTTTGATCCACACTTTCTTAACTTCACTCTTCCTTGATTTTAGGGTGAAAACTTATTTACAGAAAAGTGAGCCGTCTTGCAAAGTTTTCAGTATTATTCAGGAAAATAGGAACTTTTTTTCCCTGCCGCCCACTGAGGGCAGAGCCTAATCAACGTATCCACACAAAGAAAGTGGCCGTCTCTTGTCTCACTCATGAATTTGCATGCAAAAACTCCAGCCTTAGCTCTGCCCTACAAAGACCCGCAGAGGGAGCAGATTCGGCCATCGCCGCTCCCAAGGGGAATCAGCGCGGAGCTCCGTCGCCGAGACAACCCAGCTAGATCGCTCCCTCGCGGCCCATGTGCAACGCAATGAGATCAGGGCGGTACCCATATAAAGGCTGCGGAATAGGGAAGGGCAGGTGAGGCAGGTCGTAGGTGCCCTCTTGTGGAGAAACTACAGCACACCAAATTCATTGGACTGTAATTCTCATCAGCTACAAGCAATGACTTTCAGCGGGTATAAATAACCATTCTACTCTATAGTAAAGAGCTAGTTTAGTGTAGTGGTTAAGACACCAGGCTAGAAACTGGGAGACCCTGAGTTCTAGTTCTGCCTTATGCACAAAACCAGCTGGATGACCCTGGGCCAGTCCCTCTCCCTCAGCAGGCAGGCAATGACAAACCACTTCCAAAATGTTGCCAAGAAAACTTCTGGGACTTGTCCAGTAAGTCACCAAGAGTTAGTACTGATTCAGCCCCTCCCCCCAAAAAAACCACTATCAGTGTTTAGGAAACCAGCTTGGGGTCAGGTGCCTTGGCACTTGGGTGGTTTGTGAATGAGTGAATGGCATTGGACCCGAGCAAATCACTTAGAATAAGTTTCCAAGATGATGGCTTGCAGTTATGTGAGTTGCAGATCAGCATGTCTGGAAAGCACACACGTTAGAAGACTTAACAATTATGAATTGTAATTGCCTTTCTTGCAGCAGATGCACACTGATAGTTCATAAGCATCAGATTAGTGACCAAGATCTGTTTTCTCCATTCAAAGGCTCCAAAAATAGATCAATAGTGGATTCAATTATCTAGAGACACAGTCAGCACCTCTTTCAAGTAGAGGATGAAAAGCCATCTGTCAATGATTCTTTGATTTGGATTCCTATGCTGAGCAACGTGTTGTACATGTTGGCTTAAATGTCCCTTTTCAACTCCAGCATTACATAATAAAGAAAACAATTATTGTTATTAGTTTCCAGATGAATGAATTTGCAGAGCAAAGCAACACTTGAAGGTTTGCTTGTTTGCTTTTTTGTAAGGTGAAAAAAAGACTTCAGCTTCTGTCTTGTCAGTGCAAAGAGCTAATGAACTCTCATGCTATGACAAATCCTTCCTAAGAATTCAGTAATTTTTTAGCACTATTCTGAACATCAGATTCACGTAGATAATCCTACTCATGTATTTTCCATAACTGTAAAACACCTGGGTGGAATTTCTTTCAAAACATTCAATAAGAGAAAAAAGACATATGCATGCACACATATACTTTGAAAATGATTCAAAAGAGGCTTTTTGGAATGTGCAGGAATATGCCTGAAGCCCCCATTCAAAGCAGATTCAAAAAGACATGGCTGCTTTGAAGAGGCCCTGCAGGCCCACATGGCAAGGGCCAAGGCGGGTTTTCTGAATTATTTCCAAAGCATTCACAGCTGTAATATCTATAATAGTTTCTCATCTTCTGACCTATATTTATAGTAGTTTTTTCTGTCATGACCTACATTACCTCAGGATAATTTGCTGGGCACTGCATGGTTAATAGACTAAATCAAAGGGTAGGGTCAGACCGCAAAATGGATGGGGAGATCCTTTTCCCTCTGACTTTGGCCTGCCTCCCTCCCTCCCTCTCTCTCTCTCTCTCTCTCTCTCTCTCTCTCTCTTTCTTTCTTTCTTTCTTTCTTTCTTTCTTTCTTAGGCAGCAGATTTTAGGCAAGGTCTAGATGTTGTCAAAGGGTGCTTCCCTTTGACAAAGGCTTGAATGCAAAGCACCCATTAGAAAAAGACCCATAATATCCACCTTCTAAGTAGGGCAGTGGATGTGCAGAAATCAGTTGTATTAGTGCAACCTGGTTCAAAGAAGTGGAGTAATTAGTCTTGGTGAAATGCTTTGATGGGCCTCGGTAAGAAACCTAAAACTATCTTGAGGATCACAAGAGGCCTTAAGACTGCAGGCTGCCCTCCCCAACTTACCACATCAAAAAGAACAAAATATTCAGGCATTTTTCTTTAAAATGACATACTCTTAACAGCTTGATTGTACAGTTCCCTATCACATGCTTGCTTACATATCTTCACGACATTGGCTTAGGTATGTAGCTACACAATAATTAATGTGGAAGGCAGAGGATGGGTAGAGATGCAGATAGAAGTCTGTAACAATTTGGCCCGCATGTCCCCAGATGGTGCCAGGTGCAATGATGACAGATAGGTTGTGGAAAAGAGATTTATACTGCACTCCTTAAATTAGCCTATCCTAGAAGGCTGTAGAAGAGAATCACCAGCACTAAAAAACTCTGTCTGTGGTTTCCTTGTGTTGGGGGGACAGGCAAAGGAGACTATATTGGCCTTCATCTCAAACAGGAACAAAGTTTCACCTAGCTCTGCTCACAAGGAAAAAATATTAGAAATGTATTTGCAATAAAGTTTAAAGTTTAATGGGTTCAGTGTCCATTCATAGAAGAGAAAAACATGTCTGAAGTGAATCAAAACTTCCATGTAAGAAAGTCCAAAGGGCACAAAGAGGTCGATGGAACATGAAATGCAACAATGGACCCTGCCCTCTTCCTGCACAACTGTTCAGACACAGAGTAAATCATTGATAAAGCGAAGGGAATCAAATGTTCAAAAAGCATCCAATTTTTACTGTTCCAACTCCAGAGAAGACACCATGGGTACTACAATGCTTCATGTTGTGACATGTGTTGTTCTGCTTACAGGTAAGCTTTTACATCATGTTATACTTGCTTTTGAAATATGTATATTAATTTTGGTTAAATGAATTGCTGAGATCCACAAAGGAACTGCAGTGAAGTGCTCTTAAACCCTATCAAATTCAGTTTCAGTGGGTCTAATTCATTACAATTGAAGAGCTATGGTGCCTCAGACTAGATTTTTTTTTCTTTCAAAATGTTGTTTGGTTTTGAAGATTGCCTTTTATAATCCCATTAGCATTCAATCTAACCTATTAATATCATGTTTGGTAATATTACAAATGTAGAACAATTTCCCCTAGGATGGTACTCCCCAAACAACCTGGAGTATAATTCATTTTCTGTGGGTGATGTGACCAAAAGATATGGATAGAATCTAGCCATAGACATTCAGTAAAAGGCCCAATGAAGTCATATATGTTATGGTATTATCTGCGACTGATGCAATTTAGTAATTCATATCATTTGTGTGATGACCCCACAGAACACACGTCAGTTGCCCCCATGCAGATGCCCGTGAGTAGAGCACATCTGGAGGGCATCAGATTAGAGAAACCTGGCATAAAGCAAGATATTTTCTGAAATATATTTAAATTTTGCATATGCTCTGAACCCATGATTGTCATGCCTGTGCCTTTGTCATTTCAGTGGCTTGGGGGCTACCATTTGCCTCTCAAGAAGAAGCCAATGAATTTTTAGGACTTAAGAGGCTGCCCTACCCAGCCAATTGGCATCCAGTCACAGTGTCTGAACAGGTACTGACCTTTTCTAAGATTTTTAAAACTTGAATTTATTACTCCATTTCTAATTCACCTTTTCTCTGGGGGCTCAAGGCTGTACACATAGGGATTTATCATTTATATATGCTAGCCTTAAAATCCTATGGTGGAGGCAGAGCAAAAATGACTGGCCCAAATTCATGTAGTCAGTTCAGGGGCTGAGTGGGGAGTAGACCCAAGGTTGAATCACTACATCATACCCCCATTCACAGTCAAAGATTTTACTTGAGAGAATCAGTATGATTTAAAAAGTACTGTTCACCAGAGATACACTATAGGGGTTTGGATCTACTTGAATTTTCTCTTGTATGAAACATGGGAAAGAATATTCAAAAATATCAAAATCATAATCCTTTTAGACAGAATTGGAAGAACATCTCAAGACTTTCAGCCTAACGACCATGATTTATAACCCATAACCCATCTGGGACAGGGCTGGTATCCAGGGGTATAGTGCTAAATTCTGATGTTTATGTTTAAATAGTTAATGTTTTTGTGTGTGTAAGAGCAGCTTCTCCAGTTTTATGGTTTGTGAAAAGGAAATAATTATTATATATTCACTGTGAGCAATTGAGACAGAAATGAGGACACAAAGGAGTCTCTAGCTAAAATATCAGCAGAAATTCAGGATATAATACAATCTAATTTTGTGAATGTGAAGTCTTTAGTTTTTTGTTTTTGTTTTTTAAATATACTGAAGAGTAATTTATTATTCTTCTTACCCCTGCAATTGTTTGTTTCTCTATGGCATCTTACATTAACAAATAATAATGTTCCTAATACAGCAATTATAGAAATATCTTTCCGGGCAAGAAATATTAAGTAGGGATGTTCACCCAGAAAGGAAAGTAGACTTATATTCTATTGCCCCAGAAGACAGGACTAGAACCAATGGATTAAAACTACACGGAAGTAAAATCAGGCTAGACGTCAGGAGGAAATTCCTGACTGTATATGTTGTCAGCCAGAAGAAAAGAGTGTCACGTAATGTGCTGAGCTTGCCTTTCCTGGAGACAGACATAATGGTCATTGGTCAGAAATGCTATATTGTAGTGGATCTTCACTGAACAGGGGTTACAGTGATGACCTTTAAGTTCCTTTCCAGCTCTGATTCTATGAAAATTTTATAATTTTCTTAAATTTTTAAGTGTACGTGTTCCCAGTTTGTATTTTTTCTCCTACTCTTTGTTCCATGCAAGAGCAGAATTTGCTTTGCAGTGCTGCGCTATGGTGTACTGTGTCTTGCTGCCCTTTCCTTTCCTTTCCTTTCCTTTCCTTTCCTTTCCTTTCCTTTCCTTTCCTTTCCTTTCCTCCCCCTTCCCCTTCCCCTTCCCCTTCCCCTTCCCCTTCCCCTTTCATATTCGGTTGAAGTATTGTCAGTTCTTTTTTTTAAAATAAAAAATAGCATGAAATCATGATACCAGTTCCATCCCCCTCGAACAGAAAAAGAAAAAAGGGGGAAAAAATGCTGCAAAATTGCAGAACTATAAATGTAGGACTGCTGGTCATGCTGGTTGGGAATTCTAGGAATTTTAGTTTCCATACCAGGAGGGCATTAGTTGTGAAAGACAGTGTGCTTCTTTGGGGATGCTGGGAGGTGTCTGAGTTGTTATTATTTCAATTTATACCCTACCTTTCTGTTCAGAGCTACATGTAAGAATTGTTATCCTCAGCTCCTGCTGAGGTTGTCACTACTAATAAATGTCCATGGAACATGTTTTCCTTGTTAAACAAAATCATATTTTTGTTCTAATCAGATGAATGAATACTGGGCAGCACTGAAGAAATCAGCACAGTATTATGTGGACAAGATCTTTTACTGGTACTGACATAGCCAGGTAATTCATTGAATCGGACACTTTTTTTGAAAGAGTCTCTGTATTTACAGCATTTAATGGGATGGATATTAATGCATGGATTGTATGAAAAACCACACAAAGATAGTAATTAAAATTTGGAAATGTGTAATTTGGAAATGATTGCTGACAGCATCATGCTAGCTGAACCAACCATTGCTAAGTAGCTTAATAAGTAGCTGCAGTACATGAGGGGTTTGCTTTACAGTACATTGTGAATCCTTACATGAAGAATTGTGTGTATTCCATGATGCCATGCAAGAAGAGAATTTGGCACTGGGGGATAAGAATTAGCAAGGCATTCCTGAGGAAGGAGAAATTCCCAACAATCTGTCTATTGCAAGAGTTCTGTACTGTTAGCATGAAATCTTGGGAGGAGTTTCATTATGATGCAGAAGAGCTATGGACCTTGTGACTTCATTTTAGCCAAATAAGTGTGAAACTACTTCTTTTATAGCACTGAACATTTACTTATTTTTTATTAGCTTTAAGAGGATTTCTAAAGCAAATTCTCTTTTAATAGGTTGAAGAATAATAGAAAAAAATTCTGGAGAATTATTTTGTATGGCATTAGACTGCACAAATGATTTCAATGAATGATACTCACTCCATTTATTACGAATTCCACCATGAGTTAAAGCAAATTCAAAATGAAGATGGTCTTGATGTTAGTGGGAAAGACTTGCTGAAAATTCCCAGTTGTCAAAGGCTGGAGCATGGTGACAGTTAGCTTTTTACCTACTCTTAGGACCAGTAGAAGCAAAATCCATTTTGCAAAATATTCCATCTTAACCTTTAATATGATTTTGTTTTTTATACAGGGACCACATTAGCTCTTACATGGATATGTTACAGCAACATGGAGGGCATCAGACTTGATCTGTGACTCCCAAATTTATATATCTGCTTCCTCCATGATGTTGATCAACTTGATTTTTCCTGGTATATCAGTGCCTGAGACAAACGCTATTATGTCTAATTGACAAGGATCCAACATAAATGTCTTTATCCTGTCCTGGAATTGACAAGGGCACATCCTGTGAAGAAAATGTCCAGGCCTTCAGCCTGCAATCCTATATCAAAGAAATTACTTTTAAGTTGTCATGCATAGGGTTGCATCTTCCAGCAGGTCTTGCCTGGGAAATCTACCCATTGTCACAAGTGAATCGAAAGTAGCTGTTGTATCTTTTGAATGTGAGGAATGTCCTTGTGAATATAATATTAATTTTGGAATCTTGTTCATGAACTGGATTATTCTTAGGGATTGCTCACAAATTATAATTTAATTAAGATTGTCCATATCCTATGCAGAAGCAATATGGGAGTGTCATATTTTAAAAAAGCACTGCTGTTGCTACTGCATTGTTTAATCCCAGAGATTGAGGAATCTATGCAACAACTTCTTTACCTGTGACTTTATTTATAGTTCCTTCACTTTTGTGAACTTCATAAAGATCCAGTAACCTGTATATCACACTGCCTGTCCAGATGCCTGTAATCCAAAGCAAGACGGTAATTGTGTATTCAAAGCGCATTCATTCATCACCCATTCAGTCTTGACCTTATCTCTTGATTTACCATATAACTTTCTTAAGTACCCCATTTGAACTTCATTCACCTTACTTTTATGTTTCTCCTGACATACCCAATTTTCACTTCCATTTAACAAAAATACACTCTTAACAGACAGCAATTTTTGCTTCTTTCAACAATCATTAATTTCTTACTACAGGCCAGATATTACCTAACATTATAGGAAGGGAGCTTTATTAGACTATGGTGGCAAAAACCAGGCTACTGGTAGCATAGTTTATGACTAGTACATGTTTTAAAGTTGAGTTAAACGCTGTGAGTTGCAGCCCAGCAAAGCTTATGCCTTTAAAAAATATCTGTCAGTCAGAAAATGTGCTACTGTATTCCTGCCCTCCCCCTTTCCATCAGCATTCACTTGTGTCAACATTTCTTCATCTATTTTCCCATATTTAGTGAACGTTCTACCAAGGTACATACATTTATCTACTTTTTCTAGTTTTCACCACGTATGTATAATGTTTAATTGTTCACATGTATTTCCTCTGCCAAACATAGTTACCTTGGTCTTTGATAAATTAATTTATAGATCCTTGTTTATTTATGGATTAGATTTACATCCTGCCTTTGTTTTGTACAGTTCAAGGTGGTGTACATAATGCTCCTGCCTTCTGTTTTCCCTACAACAACACATTGCGAGATGGGTTAGGCTGAGACAGAATGACTGGCCCAAAGTAACCGAGCTGGTGGCAATTGCTGCTGATCACTTGGGTTCTTGGTCAACAACTTGGCATCATTTGCATACAAAGTATGTGTACATTCATGTCCTCAATTAACCAAACTCTAGCATCGATAAAATCATTCTTGTACATTTATCAGTTTCTTATATAGTCAAGAAAATATCACACATTCTTGTCTTATTTCCTGGTCAATGTTGAACCACTAAGTATTTTTTCCTAATGTATGTTTTTGTTCCACCATATACCACTCTTAATACATTCAGCAACTAACCTTTGTGCAAACAGTACCTACTCATTGTATCATATGGTTTCTCTAAATTAATCAATGTGTAACCTTTATTTATCTACCTGGGAATATTAGTCTTTCATGAAAATAGATGTCACATAGCAGAATATATGAACTTTGAAATAACACTGAAACAGTAGAGAAATCAAACCATCTCTTTGAAAATTCAGACTATATAGGTTTTCCACTAAGCAGGTGTTCAGTATAAAAATGAATGACAGAACCCTTCTACACTCTAGTCAGTGTGTGATGTTTGCATAATACCTCCTGAATAGTTCTGGTCAAGTACTTCAAAAGCAAGTTGCCTCATCAAACAGAGAGGAAGAATGGGGACAAGTATATTAGTTCCCCACTTCTCTGTCACAATTTCCATCACACTCCAAGAACTGAATAGTCTCCTATATCATTCTCCATGCAGTTCACAATTCTAGACTATATTCCATACACTTGAACAAGACTAGTATCTACATATTTATTTGTGTTTGCTAATTCATAAGCACAACATCAAAGAAAACATATTCTGCTTTGCACTAAGACTGCAATTTTAGACCTTTTACCTGGGAGCAAGTCCCACTCAATAAGATTTCAGTTGAGCAGTTATGAATACATTGTTCAGAGAGTTCATGGTACATGTTACCCTTTATCTGCAGATAAACCAACCTTTCTTCCTTCCCCTTTTATTCCTGTATTATCCTGCAATATCCTTTTCTCTTATTTCAAAAGATGCTGCTATTATTTTTTGCACCATAGACTGGAATTGTGAATCATAATTTCTTTTAGCATTAATATGTTATATTTTTTCAGCATTTTAATTGTCATGAAAATAGTTGCCTATTTAACTTTTTATCAACATACCCTAATGGCAAATCCAACTTTCATTCCAAGAATTATGGGGCCATGCACACATATAACGTACCCAGAATGTAAAAAAGTATACCAGCTGTCAGATGGTGGTAGCGGAAGGGATTACCCCCAATTCTACTAAGATGCATAGATATAACCATCACTAATTTCTTCATACTGGCACATGTGAGTAGTTCAATCTAGGGAACAGTAATACATTCTGAGTGTTCTTACACACATCCTTTGCAGGACAGTGTGTATGAGGTGTGTGTTCTTCCTACTTTTAATTATGAAAATAGCATTTTGATTCCCTGGGGTCTATTCATAAGAAAATATCTGGTTATCTAGCATGATTTCTGGACACTAGGAAGCAAAAATAAATTAAAATACTGACGGAGAGTTTAGATCAGCCATTTTCGACATTATGATACTCTCTTCTTCCCCTGAGCTGTGTTGGACTCCAATTCCAACTCATCTAAAGGGCACAAGGGTGGCCAACATGTTTTAAAACAGTCCATTGCAATCACTCAATTAAAAATAATATTTAAATTACATCTAAATGAAAATGACAGCACACTTCTTTTAATATATACCTTTTTTGTTTCTGAAGTCCTCTAGGCAAAAGCTTCAGAGGAAAGATCACCATCTTTTTAAAAGATATGCTACCTCCTGCTGCTCACTCCAACAGGCACATGAATCATCGAAAAACAAATAAAAAGCTGCTGCCTTCTTCAAAATGATTTATAGTCTAAAGCTCACCTGGAACCTGGCCTAAACAGATGCAGTTGAAAGAAAGATATGCTGTTCCCTGCCTAGTGCCAGCCTCCCCTCCCCTCCTCCTTCTGATGTTCTACCTTTGTGGAATTGTAAGCTAATAGGGGGCTGGGATCTGCCTGCTTGTGCTCTGTCAAGTACCAGACACGTTGAGAGGACAACATGCACGAATATATGTCTAATCTGCCCAATAACAGTCCTGTAACTGGATGCCAGCTATTCAGAAATAAGCTGTCCTTACTGAAGATAACTTGCAGTCTACATTTGGAGTGAGTAACCTGGAATCTAAGGCTGCCTCTGGAGGCCATCTCATCACAGCTGCCCCCCAAAAAACACAATGGCTTTTTGAGACAGGAAACACAAAAGCAGTAGTGCAGACCATGCTACAGGCTTATTGTGGGTCAAAAACAAAGACAGAAAAAACCTCACACTCCCCACAGAGCATCTCTAAGTCTACACCCATGTAACACTTCCACACCACTTTTTCATCATTACCCTGGGTGTGCAGCCCAGCCTGCATTTGTTAAGTGCAGATTAAAGCTATTAAAAGCTTGGCCATTCCTGGTCAAAATCTAGATTCTTTCTATCAGTGTAGGCAGAGCAAGGAGGAATAAAAAAGAATCTAAAAGGTTCTGTCTACATAAAAGTGACAATAAACAGAGTCTGATAATGGAATTGTAAAATACATGTCTTTCTGCAGACCAGTTTGGTTATGGACTATTCTTTCTATCAAGAAAGCTTCATAGCAAAGGCAGAGCATTACTGCCCCCTCTACAATATGTATCATGCAGGAAAAACGGACTTTGCATTTCAAAGCACTCTTAAAGTATGATTAAAGTATGTTCTACCAAATCCTGTAGCTGATATGACATTATTAATACAAATGTTTTGCTAAGATAATAAACCTACTCCTACTTATGTGCTGTAGCAATTAAAAAGTGCTAATAACATAATATTAAGATAAATTATGTCATGCCTTCTATTATAGAGCTCATTGCAGGAAATCTGATTTTTTTCAGCACAGGCCACAACTTGTAAGGAATTGTCCCCCCCCCCCCCCCCCCTAAAACACTATGATAAATTTTAATAGCCCCATAGCATTTGCTTCATTGTCACATCAGTTATGTTAGCGCACCAACACTCACTACGAAGATGCTTGTTGCCTGCCTAAGTCGCAACCTGAGCCAAATTGCAAAGGTGCCCAATTCATCAACAGTAGCAGCTTTCATCATAGTTATTCTAGACCAGCCTCTCCAGGCATTAAATTACTATCATGCTTTTGTGGCTTTTTGCCTTATGGAAGGAAGAAGAGTCTTGTTGATAATTTATTTCTGGACCTCTTGGCTATGTTGAATGTTAAATATCTTTTAGCGATTTTTTGCTTCCCACATTCCTAATTAGCAGCTGGATTTAGCCAATTGATTGTATAGACAAGCACGCTGAATTACCATGTTTGAATAAGAACAGCATTGCTGGATCAAGCTAATGGCCCATCTAGTCAATCTTCTGTGTCACACAGTGGCCAGCCAGGGGTAGCCAAGTTGTTAATAAGTGTGGACAGGACAGTTACAATAGAGGTGAATATGTGTAGCTCAGGGTTGAACTGTGGAGTCCTTGGGGTTCTCTGAG